CTACCCCACTCATGCTCTACCCCACTCATGCTCTTTGATGTTTGAAATAATAAACATCAAAAAAAGTTTTTTAAATTGTTTAAAAAAAGAGTGGATTTTAGAATGAAACTTGATTATGTTTGATCAGAAAAAAAACCAAAACGAAAACAAAATAACAACGAAGCAACATATTTTTATTTGTTTTATGGGAGGTAACAAAACAGAAATTTTCGAGTGAGTTATTTAAGGGATTTACTCCTCTGAGCACCGTTTGGAAGAGTTCATTCTTTGTGACAGCAAACACTCAGAGGGACAGCTACTTGCCTTCTATCTTAAATAAAATGTTTAAATGTCTATAATTTCTCAACAGTGTGCAGAAATGCCATTGGTTCATTTAAGAAGCATTCAGCGAGAGCCTACTGCACACAGGCCCCTTCAATTTCCAGAACAGAATAGAAAGCAATCGAAAGTGTCATACAGTGAAATTTTCCCACCTGGCAAAGAATAGGCTGTCATCTCCACGCACAGGGATGTTTGCAGAGCTGGGCTGCTTTAAATGTAAGAGACAGATGCTCAGAACAAAAATAATCAAACATGGCTTTCTGCGTGCCTTTTCTTTTATATTTGGTGATTACAATGGCCGGCACGAAGGAAGGGTTAGGGGATGAGAATGAATAGGAAATGGTAGGATATATTAATGAAAATGAGTCCCTTCTCTCATTTGAAAAAAAAAAAAAAAGAATCTGTAAGAGCCACTCTTCTCCCTTGTTGATTCCTTTCCCTTTGGGAGCCAAGGAGAGGGGAAGGCTTCCTATTAGATGCCCCACTGGAGAGCAGGATGGGTATTAGATTCCATTGCCACAGTTAGAAAAAGAGAGACAGGTAACAGTTCCCAGAGCACGTGTTAGGACTTTTGTATATGTTTGATGGTAGACTGGCTCATAAGAGATTGCCCCCAAGTTTAATTGGCTTTGCCCCTAGAAACGTCTGGAAACTTCAGCAGCACGTTCTGCTTAGTTTCTACCTATGCCATTGACAGCACACTTTCCCTGTTTTTCGCCTCCCTGGGAGAGGCCACTGATCATTAGCATTAGTGTCTGCGAAAGCGTAAGACTCAGGCGTCTGCCTTTTTTAAATTATAAGGCATGACAAAGATGGCAGTTACTATAAAAGTTTATTTTCTTTTTTTAAATTTAATTATTTTTTTGTATTTATTTTTGAGAGAGAGAGACAGACAGAGAGACAAGAGCATGAGCAGGGCAGAGAGAGGGAGGCACAGAATCCAAAGCAGGCTCCAGGCTCTGAGCTGTCAGCACAGAGCCCCACGTAGGACTCGAACTCACGAACTGTGGATACAATGACCTGAGTCGAATTCAGATGCTTAACCGACTGACCCACACAGGCATCCCCTGAAAGTTTATTTTCTAAGTGGAAGAAAGAATCTGATATTTTATGACGAAGCGTGCGTGGAACCCCGCGCATGCCCCTTGATCCAGATCTTAACACTCTTCATTGAGAGAGTCCGTCTATCTCTCAAGCAGCAGGCCCAGGGCTCGCCCTGCATATGTGAGAGTGTGCCCTTCCTCAGGGTCGTCACCCTGCCTCCCATTGTGAACCACAAGCACCTTCTACCTTTGCTCTCAAATTCCTACCTCTCCCATCCCTTCGTTTCTTTTCCTCTGCTTTCCTTTCCCCTCCTCTCCTTTCCCCCCACTGTTTTTCTTTGGTTCCTTCCCATTTTTCTGTGTCCTGGAGTCCCACAGGGCAGAGGGAGCACAGGGTGAGAGCCGGGTTGGTGTTCTGCTGTGCCGTTTGCTGCCTGCTTGCTTGTGGGAAGGTCATTCAATCTCTTAGAGTCTCAGATCTAGGAATCGGGAGTAATAATACCTGTTTGTGGGGATTATGTCATCTAGTTTAGGGGTTCACCCATTAATTAAAAGCTACCTAAATGAAATCGGTATTATTATTGGAATTGCACAGACAACAAGGAGAAAAGGTCGCCGGCTTTACTTTGCTGCCGGAGACAGAGAGGAGAGATACAGTGGTGGGAATCCAGAGTCACTGAAGGAATGTATGACTTTGTCTGCTGAGTGTTCATAATGACTGAGTGCATCCCAAAGTCAATCACAGTAACTTTGTCTTTCCCACTTGCATGAGGTTGAACTTGTGCTTTTCTCTCTTAGTGCAGCACCTGGTCCGCTCTGGGTACATTTCAGGTTTCTTTTTCCTAGTGCGCTTTTTTTCATCCGCATTGTCCACAGGCGCCCTCTGATTGCTCTAAGGGCTTAGGGTAAGCCAGGATTGAAAGAGCATCCTGTCCTAAGGGTGATGACAACATGGACCCACCCAGCAACCGTTTGGCTGGGTGTTGTTTTTCCAAAACCGCTGTCTCCTCCCCTTTCTTATCCTTTTCAGAATGTCTGGCCAAGTTCACGGAGAGTTTTTGACTCTGCAGCGGCACCCACTCTGCCACAATCCATCTCACCCCTTGTGGCCTTTATCACATTCTCTTTTCTGTAAATTCTAGCTTTATCGAGATATAATTCACATACCATAAAATCCACTCTTGAAAGTACAATTCATTGACTTTTAGTATATTCACGGAGCTGTGCACACATCACTACAGTCCAATTTTAGACCGTTTTTTTCATCCCCTGTAGCGCTGTGCTGTGCCTTCTCTCCTCCCCCACCCCTGACCACCATTCATCTCCTTTCCATGTCTATGGATTTGCCTCTCTTGCACATTTCCTATAAATGGAATCATACAGTATGTGGCTTTTTGTGACTGGCTTCTTTCACTTTGCATAATGTTTTCAAGGTTCACGGTGTTGTAATATGCATCAGAATGTCTTCCCTTTTTTTTTTTTTAGTTAGTTAGCATATAGTGCAACAAAGATTTAGGGAGTAGATTCTTTACTGCCCCTCGCCCACTTAGCCCATCCCCTCTCCCACAGCCCCTCCAGTAACCCTCTGTCTATTCTCCATATTTAAGAGTCTGTTATGTTTTCTCCTCCTCCCTGTTTTTATATTATTTTTGCTTCCTTTCCCTTATGTTCATCTGCTTTGTATCTTAAAGTCCCCATATGAGTGAACTCATATGATATTTGTCTTTCTCTGGTTGACTAATTTCGCTCAGCATAATATCCTCTAGTTCCATCCACGTAGTTGCAAATGGCAAGATTTCATTCTTTTTGATTGCAGAGTAATACTCCATCGTATATATGTACCACATCTTCTTTATCCATTCATCCATCAGTGGACATTTGGGCTCTTCCCATACCTTGGCTATCGTTTATAGCTCTGCCATAAACATTGGAGTGCATGTGCCCCTTCAAAACAGCACACCTGTATCCCTTGGATAGATACCTAGTAGTGCAATTGCTGTGTCATAGGGTAGTTCTTTTTTTAATTTTTTGAGGAACCTCCATACTGTTTTCCAGAGTGACTGCACCAGTTTGCATTCCCAAGAACTTCATCCTTTCTTATGGTTGAATAATATTCCATTACATGGCTATCCATCTCCCTTACCCATTCATCTGCTGATGAATGAATATTCGGGGTTATTTCCACCTTGGGGCTCTTTTTAATAATGATGCTCCGAACCTTTGAATATTAGTTTTGTGTGGACATATGTTTTCATTTTTGTTGGGTTTGTACCTAGGAAAGGAATTGTTGAGTCCTGCAGTAACTGCGTTTAACTTTTCGAGGAACTTCCAAACTGTTTTTCCAAAGTGACCGCACCATTTTACATTCCCACCGGCAGTGTAGGATGGTTCCTATATTTCTCAAACCTCATATCGTATTCTATTTTATGAATTATCTCTGCATGCTTGTTACTACTCCACTTGGATTTAAGCTCCCCCTGACCACAAACATCTCTGTAAGACATGGCATGTTCTTAATAAATCTCAGCTGTTAGCTGGATAGATAGACTTTTTAATACAATCAGTTACAGTTCTTAACTACATCGTCAAGCGTTCCTTAGGAGAAAAGACAGGTCTAATTTCACACCTTCCAAAGAACTCTACACAGGAACAGTTACCAAGTATTGGGCCCTTACTGGATTCATAGCATATATGACCTCATTTTTCAGATGAAGAAACTGAAATTCAGGTTACTCGTCCAAGTAATTAAGAGCAAAGCTGAAATTCAGACCCAGGCTTTCACTGTACCACGCTGTCTTTCACAGTGCAGGAATTCTACCTATTTTGCAAGGGGAGAGAGAGAGGCTTATTTGAAAATTTGTGCTTGCCCTCTGTAATCTCCCCAAAGGTAGGGACCAATGTTTTGCATCTTTCATTATCTCCTCTTGTGCATAGCACATAGTGGTAACTCAGAAATTTACTTCTGATTATATAAACTTTGAACAATGATATTATGACTAATAAGCTGAAATATAACAGTAAGGTATTGTCACGATCTAGGTCAATCCTTATTGCGACTATATGTGATAATATACGGTAAGCATCTAACCACTTGCCAATGGCCACGGAGCCACAGCCAAAACTGGATCCCGCTGAAATCCCCCAAAGTTGGCCTTTGTGCCTCAAGGCGTCACCGCCTGGGAACCAGAGAAGCGCCGCCTCTCCAGCTACCATCCCGGCCCCCAAGACACAACCTTGCGCCATTCAGCTGACACCAGCTGTCGGAAAAGCGGAACTGGTTTATGAGGCCCTTGCCCCTAACCAGCATGGCCACCCTGAGGCTTCAGGGTGAGGGCAGCCGAATGAGGATCACGTGAGGAGAATCCGGTTCCTTTATTGGCTTTCCCTCCTGGAAGGGCGGGATACAATAACGCAGCGGGGGGGCCGGCTTAAAGGGCCCGCGGCTGAGTCCTCCCGACTCCGCCCCCGGGGCTGGGCGGGGCCGGCGCGCGGAGGCCGCGTCCGGGGGAGCCGTGGTGACCGCCGCCGGCTGAGACGCGAGCCCAAGGGGGTTAACCGCCGAGCCGGCGCGCGGGAGAGCGCGAGGATCGCGCGCGCGAGCCCGGCTCCGCCGACGGGGGCGCACAGGGGCGCGCGGGCTCGGGCGCGGGGATGGAGGACGCCGTGGCCGGGCCCCGGCTCCGGGCGGCGGCCGAGGCGGCCGAGGCGCGGGCGCAGCCGGGGGTGACGCTGCGGCCCTTCGCGCATTTCTCGGCGGCGGCGGAGGCCGACGAGGGCGGCGGCGACTGGAGCTTCATCGACTGCGAGATGGAGGAGGTGGACCTGCGAGACCTGCCCAGCGCCACCATCGCCTGCCACCTGGACCCGCGCGTGTTCGTGGACGGCCTGTGCCGGGTGAGGGCCGGGCCGGGCGGGCCGTCGGGTGGAGGGCGGACACTTGTTGCCCGGAGGAGGCGGCGCGGGTCCCGGCCGGCGCAGGGCAGCCTCTGCAGCCCGGGCCACCGGCGGGGCCGGGAGGAGACCCTCGGGGACGCGGCGACGCCCCCTGCCGCGGTCCACCCACGGCCCGGTGGGCGGGGGCGCGCTCCCGACGGGTCCCGGGTCCCCGGGCACCTGCGGGGCCGCGCGCGCATCCTGCATAGGTATTGCTTTGAGCGCCTCGCCTTTGACGGTGGCTGGTCACCGCCTCCCAGAGACACTCCTACCCCCGGTGTCCACTCGGGTGTCCAGCTGGGGTTGGGGGGAGTGAAGTACGAGATAATCACGGGATGAATTAGCACCCGGGGCGTCTGGGAGCTCGCATTGCCGTCCCTGGGGCATGTATGGTAGCTTGGCACTTGTTTGGGGAAGGGGCTCCCCTCATTCATACGGAGGATGAAACAGACGCGGAGCGGCGACGTGACTCACTGTTCATAAATAGGACAGCGTCTCTGCATTCTCAATCTGCACTATTGGAAGAAAAACCAATGTTTGGGTGAGGATCTGTGGTTGCTCATTATCCTGTGGCTGGCCAGTTTCGGTCGAACGGTGTTGGGGGGAAGGGACCCATTCTCTAGGCCTTTAGAACAGTCAGGAATCTTGCTCCCTGAAGGGGTGACACACCACCATAGGGACCCTCTGATACATGGGGCGTTGATTTTTTTTTTAAATCCACCCAGTTTAGAAACTTAGGAGGGTGAGGGGGCAGGTATGAGTAATCAATGGAGGTGGCAGGGAGGAGGAATTTATTTCCAATCTGCAGTTCGCCTGCAGGATGGAATTTGGACAACGCAGGTGTCGCAGAATAAAGGCTGTCTTTAAGAGATATGACTGGTGAGGGGAGCAGCTGTCAAAAAAGCGCGATGCTTTCCATGCTTGGCTCTGGGTCTGTGTATACTGTCTATGAACTTGTAGTTGGAGGCTGCTGCCAAGAGGTACACCACTGTGGAACCGGGAATGGTGTGCTTGCGTCCCATTTCTTTGTGATTTCTGTGCCCATCCACTTTCAGAAAGGATTACAAGGGCCGTGTGCTTAGGCGAGTCCCTGTGGCATGCTTTCTAAAGCAACAGTTGTCGTAAGTGCGGGGTCTCACTCGTCTTCCTCTAACACCTTTTCGCTTCCTGCAGCCAAGGTCTAGCTAGTACATCGAGCCTCTTTCCTAGGGGTCTGAGGCTGTCTTTCTAATGGAGCAAGGTCAGGTCATGTAAGACTGTGCTTATTTGCTTGGGCGTCCAGCAATTCGTAGTTTTCCAGTTTTCCCAGTAAGTGTGGGGGACATTCCTGAAGTTGCTTTGTATGATACTTTGTCCACTTGGCTAGCTATTCATTTTAATAAACCTCAGAGACCCTGCGTGGGCCAGGCACTGTTCTAGGCTCTTGAGGGCACAGCAGTGAATGGAACAGCAGCCGTGCCTTTCGGGGCTGACCTTTTTGTTGGCGGCGACAATGAACCAATATTAAATATGTCAGGAGGTGACAGTGCTATAGGGAAAAGTAAGACGGAGGAGATGGGGAGGAGGATTGATGTTTTAATCATGATGATCAGAGAAGAGCCTACTAACGAGGGGATATTTTGAACAGACATTGGCCAACATTCATTCATTCATTTATTCTTTTGCTGTTTATTGAATGCTTCCTATGTCCCAGGCACTGTTTTCGGCCCCGTGAGTAGAGTGGCGAACACAGCGAGCTTCCCACTGATGTTTTAGTGACCGGGGAGGGGTTAGATAACAGGGAAAGAAGGGAACAAGGTAATTTCGGATGGCATGGAGTGCAACGGAGAAATTAACAAAGAATAATATGCTAGAGAGTCACCAAGAAGCAGACAGGGGCCGAGTCAGAATCAGTCCTCACGGGGACACTGTGGTGGTTCAAGAGGTTTTAGTAAAGGGCTGATTAATTGGAGCGGGACCCAGAGGGTCAGCCCCAGGGTGTGGGATGGAGGGGAGGAAGTAGTGTTGCTGGAGCCTGAAGAGACACAGATGTGAAGGGTGGAACTTAGATGCTGTCGTGGGGACTGGCAGGGAGGAGGTACCCCCACTCGCCCTGGCTTTCTGATCTCATCGGCTGAACCCAGCTGGCAGCCAGGAGGCTGGGGGGCGGGGGGGGGTGCATAATACAGTCCATAGGTGGCACAACCTGCCAGAGCCCAGAGAAGGGTAGGGAGGGCAGAGGATGGCCCTGGGGACAGGGCCTGCAAAGCAGACGTGCAGAGAGGAGTCAGCATGGGGCCACTTTAGATCGAGTGGCCCCGAATGGTCTCTCTGCACAGCTCGGACTGGGCTGCCAGGAGAACTGCTCTCGTGTAGATTCTGCGTGGCTGGCATCCAGGCACAGGGAACAGCAGATATAGGAGTTTTAGGGCAGCAGTGAACTGAGTTCAGAAGGCATGCAGGGGCCCTCATGGCCGCGTGGGAGACGGTCGGGGGAGATCGAGGTTCGACACAGCCGGGGAAGGGTTCCATGCGGGGCCTTGGCGGCCATGGCAAGGAATCAGATGTAGTTCCGACAGCCAGGCTGCGTGGAGCAGGTCTCTTGGACGAGGACAGTGGGTGGTCAGGAGAGGAAGCAGGGAGACCCCTTGGGCGGCTCTTACCTTTCATTGTCTCGGGGAGCTTTGGAAGTGTTTGAACTCCGGTGGGGGTGTTGGACGCTGGAGATGGAGCAAAGGACAGAGCCTCGGCTTGAGCCTGTCTGGATGGGGGTGTTCAGAATGGGGGTGGGGGAGCTCTATGCGGTTTGCTGGTTTGGTTGCACATCCACAGGCTCCTGTAAGATGTCAAACAGTTGGTGAAGATGCAAAATTCTCTGGGCTCTCTGAGGCCCTGAAGGCAAATAGTTCTGAAAAACTAGGCAGCAGCGAGAGCAGAAATCCCTGTGTGGCCTTTGGTGAGCCTTCCAGCAAAAAAAATTTCTCCTTTAGCTAAAATCGGGCCTGTAGGTGGGAAGGTGTGGCTTCTGCCAGCCTTATTATTCTAAAGGCCATTCTCTCCCCCTGTGAGCCTGATCACCCAAGGGTGGTGTAATGAAAATGTCCTTCTACTTCGGGTCCGTGTGGTCTGACCCCTAGTGGTCATGCTGCTAACTGCATTGCTGACAGAAGGCACAGCTTTGTGGGTTGTGGGGGGGGGGGGGGGGGGGGGGGTGTTTGGTGGTCCCCTCTCCTTCATCAGTCTCTTGGAGGGTCACCTGGTTGTGTGATGGTGGCTTAGCCTGTTAGGGGCCGCAAGAACAAAATGCCACAGACTGGGTTGCTTATAAGCAACAAATATGGGGCGCCTGGGTGGCTCAGTCCATTGAGCGTCCGACTTCGGCTCAGGTCATGATCTCGCAGTTCTTGAGTTCGAGCCTTGCGTCAGGCTCTGCGCTGACAGCTCAGAGCCCGGAGCCTGCTTCAGATTCTGTGTCTCCTTCTTTCTCTGCCCCTCCCCTATCCTCAATCTGTCTCTCTCAAAAATAAAATAAACATAAAAAATTAAAAAATAAAATAAAAAAATAAACAACAGACATTTATTCCTCACGTTCTGGAGGCCAGCTTGGTCGGGTGACAGCCCTCTTCTGGGATGCAGACCTCTCGCTGTGTCCTGACGCAGTAAGCAGGGATGAGGGAGCTGGCGCGGGGGACTCTTTCATAAGGACACTGGTCCCAGCCAGAGGGCTCCACCCTCTACCTCAATACCCCCCTAAAGGCCTCATCTCCTAATACCGTCACCTTCAGGAATTCGGATGTCGGTGGTATGAACCTGGGTGGGACATAGGCACCCAGACCATGGCAGACGCTACCTGGGCTCATATTATTCTCTGACCTCAGTCCCGAAAGAAAGAAATCGACCCGAGGCCAGGATTCATTGGAGAATTTATATCAGAGGCCATTTTCTAACTCTTAACAGGCCTGATGTGTAAAACTTGTTTCCATTAGCTGGGTCATCCTCCATGCTGTAAATAACGTATAATGAACGTGTTCATTAAATGCTTATCTAAAACCCAAGTGAAGCTGTGTGGTCATTAATTTCAAGTAACATTACTAGAGGTTTGGCCCATTACAAATGAATGAAGACTTTTATGAAAGTAAGGTTAGCTCCTGTTGTGCAAATGTTAATGTAGCATATCCTGTGACCATTCTGTTTTTGCAAAACTGTTTTCTTCTTACTGAGAAAGCAAAGCAGTGCTTGGAACCAGTAAGTACAGGTGCTTTGGCTTGTAGGCAGCGGTCTGTTGGTTCCCTGGAATAAGAGACTTTATGCGGGCCTCATCAAGCTACCTAGAAACCTAGAGGAGGTCTCGCATAATAGTCTGTGAGTTTCCAGGCAGCAAATACAGTTCCATACGGTAATAGAAATGAGTACCGCTTTCTCTGTTGTCTGAAACATGAATGCATATTTGATTTTTTTTAATGTTTATTGATTTTTGAGAGAGAGAGGGAGAGCAGGGTAGGGGCAGAGAGGGGAGGACAGAGGGTCTGAAGCGGGCTCTGTGCTGACAGCAGACAGCCCGATGCGAGGCTTGAACTCACAAATCACGAGATCCTGACCTGAGCGGAAGCCAGATGCTCCACTGACTGAGCCACCCACCCAGGCGCCCCTGCATTTAGATTGATAGAGCTTTACCCTAAGGCTAAGTCAGAACATATCAATCATCAAAAAAAGTTCCTCTTCTCTAGTGAATAAACTCACCTTCCTTAAAATGGGTGCCCACTTAAGATTTGTGATACGGACATGACTTTCTTTTCATGACAGGAAATATTCTGAGAGCCATACGAGGGGTTTGAGTGGTGGCTTTGATTTCTCTGTATCAGTGAAGACCCCACGCAGATCGCATCCTAGCTACACGAGAGTCCCTAGGGAGCTCTGAACTTGTCCAGACGCACGCCACCCCGACCAGCTGCAGTCTCAGGGGCTGGGAACCCCTTGGAAAG